ATATTGAAATTTTTGAAGTTTATCAAACATTTATTTATGTAAAAAAATTAATTCAAGAGAAATAGAAACAAATCTATTATGATTACTTCAAATTAATTTCTTTGGATTATGACCTAAATTCTGCATTCCTAAATCCAAATTTTTTTTACTGGCCAGTTAACTATTTTTAAAATCCAGGTAATAGTTCATTACGAGTAACACAGCAAAATGCTCTCACATAAAATTAATTATATTAACTATATGTTTTAGAAAACAGAGATTTATTGATGCGCTAGAGCTAAACATGCGCGCATAGCGAATTTCCGTGAATTTTTAGAAGAAGAAAATTTTGATATTTGATTATATCTTGTCAAATTTAAAAATAAATAAGTAATATTGATAATTTAAGCATTTTTATATCAATGCGTTAATATAGAAATAAGGTTAACTTTGACTAAAAGAATGAGTTGTGTCTTTCTATAACTTTTATTTATTTTTGTAACATTAATAAAAAATATATTGATTCAAAACTACCAAATTTTCAGACAATCCTTAAACTTTGAAATCGAAGAGTAAGCACTATACCTAATTGCCTCTCTAATACAAAAATCTATCTGAAAATTTTATTTCAAAAGTAATAATTTAATCAATAAAAATGATTAAAGTGAGAGTTACATTTATAAACTACTTTCACTATGAAAATCGGGAAGAAAAACTAAATTTTATATAAGTGTTATTATGAAAACTAATAATAGATGGCAGCACGTAAGAATTTTGCTTTTAAAAATTGTAAAGATTTAATGAGAAAAGCAACGAATAAATCATACAATTATTGCATTTTCTAATTGAAAGAACTAGTTTTTTAACATCTCTATACAGTTGAGGTCATGGGAAGATATACATGTTTATTCCTACACTGCTTGTTGTAAATTGTAAAATACAATTGTTCATTATGCAATTTTTCAATCGGTGAAAAATAGTTTTTTTTTTTATTCAAAATGATAAAACAGCAAAAAAATGCAAATTTTTTTAGTTTCTTTTTAATTTAGTTAATCCCATTAGAGAATTTTTATGCTTTTAGCTGTGAAAATGCACAATTATCTTAATGGCATTTAAATAACAGTTTTTGAAAATAAATTTTATCGTTGATAACTTAGTTCTAGTTTTCCTGTATTAAATTAGAATTTAAATTCGTCAAAAATCTCGAACTTAATTTGCTTCGTTAAATATCGATTCTGAGACATCCTCTCAATAAACTATTTTAATAGTCTTATTATTTCAGAAAGGTTTGCCTTTTTTCTTTTTTTAAATAACTTTCCTACCACAGTACCATACTATGGAAAGTTAAAAACAATGTTTGGAGATTTTTTTTTTTTTTAGCGGATGAATTCTAGAACTAAAATGAAAAAGGTAGTTGACAAAAGTATGTGTGCTAGTGAGGACAAAAAATGACATTCCATTCAAATCAAAAGCAAAACAACAAAGCATTGTTTGCTTTCCTGAGAAATTTGAACATTTGGTTTATCATTATTACTACCCCTTTCAACAGAGTATTAAAAAATTTTACATCATAAATTTATTTCTTAAAATATTTCTTTTTTTTATATATAAAACGAGTTGTTAGTCAGTCGAAAAAAATTTTATCATCTAAAAATTAAAATTAATTTCGTTAGTAAAATTTTCTCATTTAACTCTCGATAACTGTACCTAAATGCTTTCCCCCGTAACGAAATGATATAAATGGTTGATGGTAAGGACTTCTTAACGTGTTTCTTACTATTTTTGAAACTTAATTTTAATACACGGCTAGCATAAATGAATAGCCGGAATTCAAATATTTATATTTTGGAAACTAACCTCATTATAATAAATAGAATTCAAAATTTTTAAAAAAAATCCAGCAAATTTTTTTTTCCAATTACAATTGTTCGATTTGTAGTTCTTTTGATATACGACAACGTCTAATCTTTAATAGTGTTCAATCCACACATTTTGTTGTTACACTCTAACAATGTTTCCTGATGCGTTATTCACGTTCTTGCTGCGTTTTTGGCATCGGTGGATCATGAATAGTGTCTGACTTAATCTCATGAAGAAAAGAAATCACAATGTGTGTTATCTGGAGATTTCGGTGGCCAAATGATTAAGGGCGAATCAGTCATCACAATTAAAGATGCTATTTAAGAATCAAAGATGTCGGAAACAATGTAAGAACCTATCATTTCAAGACAATGCGTCCAATATATTGGACAACATATTTTTTACCTTTAAAATATATAGATTAAGAAATGTTCGTCAATTTGCAAGCTTTTACAAAGCGATTATCCACGGAAAACAGTTATTTTCAGACTCATTTATCGTTAATTTCAATTAAAAAACAAAATTATGAAATAAGTAAGAAATTTAATTTTTTTTAAGTAACGTTCTAGAAAGTTTTATGGCATATTGATATCTTACTATATAAGAAGTGTTTCACGATTAAAATGTGAAGAAATAAACTATAAAAATATATTACAATATGCTAAATGTGCCGAAAAATCAAACTAATTATTTATATAATTAAATAGCTTAAAATTAGTAACAATCGGGTCTTTTATATAAAAAATATGTTAAAATTCCTACATAACAAACAGCAATTTTATGTTTTTTACCCTTATTTTTCAAAATTTAAAATAAAGCAGTTTTTCCTTTTAAAATAGTTTTTGGAAGTACGAAAAACTTAAACTGCTCAAAATATTCAACATTACTAAATCGGAGATTTTACTGCTTTGATAAAATCTAAGAAGTTTACCTCTAACTGCTAACCGTTTGCAAACTATATTTAATTGTCCAAATTATAGAAATTTCTTGAAATAGTTTGCAAAACGATTGTATGTTTGCCATTAGAACGTATCAGAAATTAAAAGATCCTTTTCTTGTGTATTTATATTTCTTTATTGTAATTTTGTTACATTTAATTTCTTGGTCATCTTAGTAGTAATGACTAGCCTCTTTTTTTTTTTTTTTTTGTATCTAACCAATATTATCGCCTACAAAATTTCCAGAGTTTGGAATAAGAAAGTAGGATGTTCCATACATTATACATATGTATATATTATGATGCTCATTACTATAATATGAATTATAGTAATGAGCATTTTTTATTTAACAGCTTGGTGAAAATCCATTTCTTACCATTCCTTTAGTTTTGCTTTCCGATAAAATTTACACTTTCTTTAGTATCTTATCTTCCAAATACTGACTATACTCATTCGTGCCTTAAGCAACTTATTTATAGATCAGGGGTTTCCAAATGACGGCCCGCTGGCCGCATCCGGCCTTGAAGCCTTTTTTTGTAGCCCGCGAACTAAAATATATTAGTTTTCATAGCGGACAATTTTCGTAACAAATCTATAAGGGCTTAAAATACTTTTTTCGTTTAAAAAAAAACTTATTTTTTTGTCATCTGTGAAATTTAACATACCAACGGTGCAAAAAAAAATTTTTTCTTATGTTTTGCATCCAAGAAAATATTTAATCAAATACAAAAATAATCTTGCATGTTGCTCTGTTTTTATTTTTATTTTTTAATTTCTTTTTATTTTGTGAATATAATTTAGCATGTGCGTAAGAGATTCTCCAATTTAGCTTTTTGAAACCACTCATTTTGTACGAAATTATTTACATTTGTAAATTTTAAAGTGCATAAAAGAGGGAATGAATATCATGTTTTATCTAAATTCCTTGAATTGAATATCGCATGAGCGGAAAAGAAAAAAATTAATTTCAGATGCTCGAGAATTTTTTAGTTGTTGATATAATTCCTAATGAGTCGAAAAAATGTTAATTTATCACAGAATTAAATTTGAAAGTAAAAAAAATCTTGTCACTAATTTTCAGATTAAGAGAAGTTTCAAAATTATACGTAACAAGCATTATTTGTAAAGCTTGTTATTTTGTCTCTTTTTTTTAAAATTAAAAAACTTTTATAGAAATCTGACAGCAATATTTAATGTTCCTTCAAACATAAAAAGAGTCCTATATAAAATTTTGATAAAGTTGTGGCCCGCCATTTGACCGATGCTTTTAATTGCGGCCCCTGGCCTCATGTAAGTTGGAAACCCCTGTTATAGATGCAGCGAAGAAATATGGAAAGAAAAGGAGTTTATAACGTTCAGCATTGAACTAACCATCTTCTTACTTTGCCAGTTTTAGAAAAGACTTAAGAGAGAAATTTAGTACCGAATATTCGGGGAAGGGCAAACTCGATACAGTCAAATTAAAAATTAATTATTCGCCCTTGATAAAACTTTTTCAAAAAGCTGCCAATAACGTAACTACGGTAAACATTCATCTAAAATAAGTTAACCGCTAGTGTCACATTGTTATACTATAAAGCATCGAACACTTAACATCTCGTAATGAGTTGGGCTATTATATAGTACTTTAATCTGACTGTCTTTCGAGCACAAGTGGTACAAGAGGTGCAAATTAATTAGTAAATTGATTAGAGGTGCAAATTGATCAAAGGGAAATATTATTTCCCTTTGATCAATTTCTGTTCTGTTACAACAATTTTCACGAAACTTATCATAGTTCATGATTGACGAAGAGAATGTTTAGCACCTATATCATGAGTTTTACATTAGAAAACAATCGTTTATGGTAGGCTCAAACAATTTAACCTTTGTATAAAGAACCACCAAAGAATCGTTATATCTTAAATTTGTATTCCTGTTTAAACTTAAATGGCTCGCCAATCCCTTAATTTACATTCACAACTTTATTTTGCATTTAAATATACTTATTCCCTTTAAAAGACAGTTAAAAAATGCTTTTGAACGTTTCTTGAGTACTAAAAACATTCACAAATGTAGTTTAATTTCATATCGTAATGTTATGTTTTGTTAAAAGTAATTTCACTTATAAATCAATAGTATTCAATATTTTGATTCATATCAACGAATGTATAAATTTTACCCTGGTTTTCTAGTATATATGTATTTTTAAACAAGAGTATCTTGTTTTAATTACATTACAAATTTTATAAAAATCAAAATTAAGCTTTATTTTTTACACGAATTGATTGGAGAAAAAATATAATACAATCAAAGAAAAATGACACATTTTCAGCATCAAAGTGCAGAAAGTTCACTGTACACACCTAAAAGCACTCAGTGCACAAAAAGTCTATGTAGTCACACTTCTAAAAATAAATAGTTCTCTCTTCGAGAATTCTTAATGTGTTTCTGACGAAGAATTATTCTACCCTCATTCATAAAATCACGCCAAGATAGGAACTGTTCACGCGACTTACCAGAACATTTGGCTCAGCCAAACATTCAAGAGGTCGCACAATATTCACTAGATGTCATTTCCAAGCTTTTAATTCTTGTTCCGTCACCAGTTTTCAGCTTTCTGTTCTTTACTAGTTGCGGATGAGCAGTCTTCAAGTCATAAGCTTGCCCTATCAACGCCATGAAATCGATGAATATCTTTGTGAGATTCAGTGAGTAGCCTAATTCACTTGTTGAATAATCCCAAGGAAATACGTGATGGTAGTTGTGCCATCCTTCTCCGTGGGCAAAGAAGGCCACTATAGGATTTTCGCTTGCCCATATGAACTTGTCGTAAGGCCGATCACCGAACATGTGGGCGGCACTGTTTACCAGCCATGTCACATTCAAACTAAAGCAGTATCTTGCCATGGAAGAAACGAAAAAGGAATTCCAGATAGTCTCGTTCCAGAGCCAAACTGGTATCATGGTTGGAAGATAAAAGCTGAACAAAAGCACCAAGGGAATATAAAATCTGAAAAATATAAGTTAAAGTTAATTTTCTAACTAGAAAGAAATTGAAAATCTAGATTTTAAGCATAATAGCTAGCAGAGTAACTGTGCTAGATTTTATTTTAAAGAAAGTATTAGTAACTTGTAATGTCTACCATGGTTTTAAAACACTACAAAAAATAGAATTAATGCTGCAAAAATTAACTTTGCAAACGTTGGAACTGCACACGTTAATCTTCTACAAAAGGCATGCGAGAAGCTATTGAGATCTTAAACGTCGTAAAGAAAAGAATTTAATGAGACCTAACTGAAAATTTTGTGCAAGTCTGACGAAAACTATGCTCTTTCAAATATGGCATGATCAATGGTATTCGCGTCGTTATTGCTTCATCATTGTTTCGTAGTTCTTGTTACGCGAGCTTGCTTAATTTAAAATACGAATTTGAAATAAGCACTTTTGACATTTTAATACATTACTTCACACCAAAATTTATGTTAACTTACTAGACGTAATTATGTAAAAACTTAAGATTATAAAAAAAGACATCCTTTGCACCACCACTGAGAGGAAGGCTTATTTCCAAAATGGTTAATGATTGTTGAATTAATGTAAACTGTGTGATTAAGGATAAACATTGTGTACATCCAATATCCAAAAAGCTTGTTTCTGTATTTAGTGCAAGTTTTTTCTGCTACATTTTTTAAAACTTTTCTAAAACTTTTTAAAACCCAAAGTAGAACCTATTCTATGCCATTCATTTAACGTGCTACGGTGCTTTTTCGATGGCTCCGTCGTAATCTGAAATTATGCTTTTTTCTAATAATATTTTTATGATTGCCGGGAGTTTTCAACTGCTACTCACGACTAGTTTAGTCTAAAGCCTAAAGTCTGTCTATGCTTACTCACAAAATGGCGCAAAACGTCAATATGGAGAAAAGACAGTTCTGTGAAAACTTAAAAGTTTGTAGTCTAATTTTTAAATAGTTAAAAACTGACTCCATTGCTTCATTACTTGGATTCATAAAAATTCGCAAAACTGAGAATAAGGCAGCGATTGATAATTTTCATCTAGGTAGAAAAATGTTGCCAAATTGGAGATTTTTAAAAACTTAAATTACTTTTAAAATATTTAAGTTGTTTGGCTGTTCTAATGCCCAGATAATTAACGGCAAGATTATATACATTTTAAAATCATTGCTTCAAGTGTAAGGCACTTAAACTATAGCTTTATTTTCCTTCGAAAAATAGCGTTAAAATTAGAAATCCTGGTACTTACTTCCTTTGGAAGCGGACAACTGGATCAGCCAAGATGTCATCCAAGAATACAGCTTTTCCCTTAGCCTTAACAGCTGGGTGCTTTCTGCACATAAGCCATCCCATGTGAGCGAAAAAGAAACCCCTTTTAATGTTGTGAGGATCTGCGTCAGTTTCTGTAAATTTATGGTGCACTCTGTGATCTCGGCACCACTCGTAGACGTCATTCTGAAAGTAAAAAGATTTAAACATTTAACGCTCTTGAGACGAGATTAGGCCCAACACAGAAGCAGATAGAGCACTTTGCGGTCACACTTCATTCGTACAATTGTCATTCCGGCCAAAATTTGTTATCGTGGATGTAGCAATCAAGATAATGAAATACATAATTCCTTTCAAAAACAAACGCCATTGCACTAAAGCAAGTTTTCAGAAATATTCGATTTTATCTCCTAGGTCCATCGACTTACGAGAATATTTGGCAAGACTTTCAGATCACACTAAAAAATTTCGGAAACATGATAATAAATTAAGCTCTGATGAATTGCGAAGCATTTATTTTCAAAAGTAGAACTGAATAGACTTGACGGAGATTCAGTTTCAGAGTGTAGCCGTAGCTACCTCTACAACTATTTAATTCCAATTAGCTAGTATGTTAACTCAATCTTTAGGTACCTTTTGATCGAAGACCTTGTTGGTAGCGTAGCCTCACGCGAAGTTTCAGAAATATTAAAAAAAAAAATACGCATATAGGAAACTCTTCGAAATATTAAAGTATCCGATACTGCAAGAAATGATTTAAAATATTTCTGAAGTACTGCGAAATATTTCCGAATATCACAGAAAGAGTTTTCGGAAATAATCAGAAAAGTTTTTGAAAGTTACATGCACCGTAGGTGACTCGAATTCAGAAAAGTTTTAGAAGTTTTTTTTTTCTTTTTACAGTGCAGTATTTTTTTGCTTTTGTTGCAGAGAGTAAACACTTGACCGCAAGAAGTTAAAAAGGTTTCTTACACTTTAAAACATTTTTATAAAACTCACTTCTAGTTCGGTTCTAAGGCAAAAAGATTCACGAACTATGCTCCAAGGAACATTAAAGGCTCCACAAAACAATAGTACTTCGCAAAGTGGTAGGGCAAGTTTTAAAAAATTTCAGCAATGCATTTTAAAATTAAAAATGCAAATAAAATATTTCTTTAAGCTCTCAATCCAGACCAAAGATTGAAATTTGTCCATGTGGAACAATAACTGCATAAAAACAAAGACAGTATTATAAAGTTGTCAGTAGACTGTATATAAATGGTTTATGTCCGTTATTTGACAAAACAAATTCATGGTAAAAAAGACAAACACCGGCAACACTATCCAAAAGTTAACCAAAACTTTGGCAGATCAAAATAACCTCGCACTGTCATTAAATTTATGTTTAATAAAACACAGTAAAATAGTCCCAAAATGCCAATTTAATAGAACTCTGCATCTGCAATATTATCCTTTAGTTTCTTTATCATGCATGCTTTTGAAATGGAAAATAAATTCAAAAATAAAAACTTGAACTGATAAATCCAATGTCTTGCAACGTGACAGAACGACCATGCATCGTTAATGCTTTTTTGCCGTTCAATTTACTAAATGGGCAGTTCTCAGGAAATTTAAATATGGGTCGCTGAAATTTAAACATCCATGAATTTCCTAAATTTTTTTAGTAGTAAATGGAGCAAACTTTATTAAATAAATTTTATGTTTTTTTAGTCTAAATTGACAAGAATAAAACATTTTTAGAAGAGTAAATTTTTTAAACTTTAGTATTAGAGTTTGAGATTAACAATTTTATCTTACAAAAGGTGATTTATAAAAACCTTAAACTATACATCATAAAAGCCTTTGATTTAATTCCATTAATTAGTAGATTGTTAAGCAAATTTAATTTCGCGACTGCAAAGATGCAAAAGTTTTTTATTATTCAAAGAAAAATATTGCAATATATTAGATATTTTCTTTTTCTTACTGCTCTTGAGAAAATATTAGCAGATATAAAATTTTAAAATTGTTTTTAAATTACTAGCTTAATAACCTTTATCTGACCTTTTAGTAATGACCCATTACGTTGATGAAAAGTGATTGGCTTTATTTGTACCCTAAACCGATATCTGGAGCCATTTACCCATTGAAGATTAATAGCCAAAAAGTATAATATAAACTGTAGTGTAAAATAAATCATAAAATAAATCCACATCTTTGTGTTCAGAAAATTTTATTCTGTTATTGTAATTCGTTACTGTATTTTGAAGAAAAAAAATTTAAAAACTTCAAAAATAACATTGAGTAATGACAAACACATAAACCACTTTCTGAAAACGTAATTGACAACACATGATCTCAATAGAGATCATATTTGAAGTTTTTGGATAATTTAGCACAGTCATGAAAGATAATTATTAAAGTGTAGAAATACACTCACACCTTAAAAAAAACTAAATGTCAAAAAAAGCTATCAGCATTTTACTAAGCATTAAGAGAGGCATGTGTGAGGATGAGAGAGGGAAATAAATTTGGTTCTTAATTAGCTCAAGCCAATAATGTCAAAAAATTTGAATGGATTGGAAATTTCTAAACTGATTAAATGTTAAAAAGTTAACATTGAATGTCACATATTGTATTAGAATTTATACACTGACATTTGGTTTTAAATTTAAAAACCAAAAACTAGAATTAAGAAAAAGTTTTCAAAGTCTTCTTACCTGAGCAGCGATCGAATTTAAGATGACTAAAAAAATTCTAAGAGGCAGTTTTGCTTTGTATGAACGATGAGACCAGAGCCTGTGCGCACCAGCTGTGATGCCTAAACCAGCAATATTGCCATAGATGTAAGCTGAAATATTAATCATTATCAATGCGAAGTACTGCGGAAGTACGGTAGCATTTGATGAATCACTATTGTTCTAAGCAAAATTAAAATGAATAGTGAAATTTCAAATAAAGATTTATTTGTAGTCCGTTAAAATGTGATCATAAGTTATTCAAGGTAATTTTTCCCCCACACACTGTGCATTTCCCTTAAAGAGTAAACAAGGCACAACTAATCCTAAGGATTTAATGAGATTTGAACTATTTACAATAGTTTACAACTTAATTTCTTTCTTACATTCATCGTAGGCTTATTGAAAAATCAGTCTCTTTCAAAACGTCGCCAGCATTTCGCAATGTTCTAAGCTAATTGCAGAAATCTTGTGTTCTCTAACAAGCCTAACATATTTAATTATTACCATCAGCCTATATCATTAGGCTAATTATGGAATAAGCAAATTATTGCTCAGACTAAATTTGCTTTTTTTTTGGTAGCGAGTCTTGTTATGCCAGCGTCCAATGCTAATAACTAATAAGGAAATTAAGCTGCACGGAAGAATGAGATTGAAAAACGTGGAATGATACTGAACAATATCTTCAGATTTAAGATTCAAATGATTAGAAAAAAAAACTAGTAAGCACTAAGCAATCAGAAGCTCTCTCCCATTCTTCGAAAAGAAACTAATCCTTCCACACAGAATCCCCGTCTACCAACATGTAGCTGTACTAAAACTAAACATTGGTTAGGACTGGTTAGACCTTGTTAATTGCTTACTTGTTCAAGTAAACACCAATTCCTTCTCTTATAAACTTTCATTTCTACTCCAATAGTATCAAAGGTTTTAACCGTAATTTGATAGACTGCACAAATTAGTATCAAAATCCTTTCAGTACAAAACAGCTCCAAATTTAGAAATTAACTGCCAAATTTAGAAATTAACTGCCAAATTTAGAAAAGTCAGTAAATTCTATCAGGTTTCTGCAGTTTATGTTGTTTTATCCTTTTTAATAAGCCCATCTACTTCACTGTTTAGTGTAGTAAGTTTTTAAGGCACACTGCATATCATGCTTACAAATCAGTCTAGTTGAACAACGAATGGCATTTCGTAATTAGCCTGAAGGTAGCCAGGCTCGCGGCAATAAGATTACAGTAATAGGTTAAATAGAAAGTATGAGACTTTTCCAAATGACCCCACGTATTGCAAAATTAAGGCGGCGATTTGCAAAAAGCAGCTTCTGTCAATTAACCCTAGACACAAATCTTAAATGTTACATTAAATTTCAAAGCAGTCAGGAATAAATACTTTCTCATAAAAGACTGAGTAAAAGTTGAGGACGATATCCGAAGAACTAGCCAAATTTTTTTGGTCCATAAAAATATTTTATGGAATTTGATTATGACTTAAATCGTGATTTTATAAAATTAGCATCATTTTTGTCAAGATATGTTAATTTAATAACACCAAAACTATATTTCACGTTTACCCTATAAAGGCTGTAGTAAACTTCTGGGAGCTGTATATATTTATACAATAGCACGTCAAAATATTAATTGCCAAAACTCTGTCGTGATTTTTCAATATTTGTATTTTGTAAGCAAATGCTTTCGTATACAGAAAGATTCCAGTACATTATTCTCACGATTTTAATTTTGCTCACAAGGAAATATATTTGGCGAGTATCACTTCACTTATTTTACAAGCATTACATCATTTTCTTAACACCCAACTTACCATAGAATTAAATGGATATTTATAATAACTAAAACTACTTACAAAAAATGCCCGTTTTTGAATCGGCAGTAGTGAGACCCAAATAGACTCCATACACAAAACTCAAATGTAGGTAAATAAAAAGCAGCACATTTGTATACACTATTTCGGTCTTGAATTTCGGTTCCGTCTTTTGCTCCGTTTCATTTTTGGGTGAAACACTTTCTTCTATTGATGCTGTATTATTTGGTGCCATCCTAAAATTGTACAGATTTTTATAACAATTTCATATTATTAAATTCAAAATATAAGAAATTTTATTCCAAATAAATCTAATTTTAGCTAATTTCTATAGTTTAATTTTGATTATTAATTTTGACCGGTAATTTAGAAAAAATAACTGAAATTTATCTAAATTATCTCTTTGCTTTTTCTGAAGCAATATCTACTCATGCTTACCCTTTATTTTTAGCACCTTAAAAACAAACTGTACTGGTTTGTTTGCAGGGTGTGAAAACAGCCTTCACCAACTCACCATTGGACACAGAATATTTTGAGCTGGCGAGCCTCTTAAAAGTTTCAAATGATACCAACCACACTTTTTCCAGACTTAGCATTTACATGCAAAATTAGAAAAATATCAGGAAGCAACTTCAGCAAACCTTCGCGGCTGCAGGACTAAATGGCTAGAATGATTTACTCCAAATTTTTTATCAGACTCCCACCCCTAAAATATTTTGATCCTGGCAAATACTATTTTAGAGCTGAAAGACCGAGTATACCAGCATGAAAGGTTAAAAGAATGGAGTCATTTCTGATATTTTAATATTTTAATAACTATTGTGGCTCGTAAGATAGAGCTAACTCATTCCAATGAGGTAAACCGGGTTCGAATCCCAGCGATGGCTGATCGATATAAATTTCACCCCCCGGTTTGCACTGACCACACTATTGACTTAAAATATCCTCAGTGGTAGACAGATGCGTTAGAGATTCTTTGCCATCAAGCTAACCGTGAGAGGTTTTAGAGGTTTTCCTCACCATGTAACGCAAATGCTGGCTAGTTCCAGCAAAAAGTCATCGAAGGCGAATCTAGAAGTTCCTTGTCTCCTGGATTGGGTTAACAATTTATAAGGCTACCAAGACTACCTAATTCTTATTTCAAATATTTTTTGTAAAAAATATGTTTAAAAATTATTACATGATTGAGGGTTTGGTCACAAAGATGCTCCTATTACATTTACATAGATTTTAGGATTTTTTTGAGAATACAGTTGCAAGTCCGGTAGTAGAAAACCTTCAGCACGACAGAGGGCGTTGCAAATTACAACACCTGCAGGTAATTTTTCACTTAACTTCAAAGCAAAGAAACTGGGAATTTGAGACTCCTTTTTGAAAGATCTCTGAATTTATTTTTTATAAGAAATTATAATCCTGAATTGAGAGAACATGGCAAAAAAATAGTTTCTTCTATTACTTGATAGCAGGCTTAACTGTGTAGGGATATTTTAGTATCAGTGTATAAAATTAAACTTACATTTATCTTCGCTATGTATTTGCAAATTTCCCTACAAGTATGTCTGATTAATCTGAATTTTTACAATATTACACTGACTGCGTTGAGTTCGCAGACAATTTTGGATTATGAAAATAGAACTGCAGATTCAATATAAATTCAGCCATCGGGGTGGCGTGTGAAAATGTGACTGGCTCATACCTCTAGAAATGAAATTTCATGCACTGTTTTATGGATTGAATAACAATTACTAAATTTTTAAAAATTTCATTTCTGACGAAGAAAATTCAAAAGTTGATAAATACAATTACAACCATCTTTGGGTGCCGATGAAAACCAGATGCTGCATTCACCTCAACGACTTAAATTAGATCAGATCCATCTTTTGTATTAAAGATATTTCGGAAGACTTGGCGATCGTTTGAATTGAAAAAGAGGCCATCACCGAAAAATAGTTTTACGAACTTAATCTCAATTGCCAAAACTTAGTTGTCCGTTAAGCTTTTTTCTATTACAACAAACAAAGCAATATTTATTATAAAAGCTTGTTTTAAAGAATATTGATAAAAGAAAAAAAATTAAGACATTTGATTCTCTGGAAAACAATAGCAAATAAGGTTATTTTATTTATATTTAAATAAATCAAAGTTGTCTGATTTTTCAAAACAAAATAAAACGTAGCTATCACTTGACACGGAAATTAAATTAGATTTGAAATAAAATTATATAACGTATTATTTACTGATTTTTACGCTTAAAAGTAAATTGGCAGTTTATGTCAAGTGGCAAAAATTAGTTCATTGTTACTTTGTTGAGCTAAAAGTGCTTCATTTTAAAAGAAATATAAATTCGCCTAAAAACTCTTAGCGTAAGTAAGACAACTGTTACAAAAAAAAGCAACTAAATTTTACTTTAAAATGACTGGTGCGGATTATGCGTCGACACAATAGCATAACGAGTATGAAACAAATTTAAATTTTAATAGAAATCCAGGCTTTACAATTTTCACTCAAAGAACCATAGTCTGTTTTCATGCATTAAAAAAATATCCACTAATTGCTAGAATTAAAAGCGAATTCAGCTTATATCGTCTGAGCTTGAGATATTTCAAAGACAAGTGTAGTAATAATGCTAAAAATAACCCATTTTTTTAGAGGATAGTCTGAAAGCATTTAAATTGTTTTCACAATTGTTTAAAAGTTCAAAAGCCCGGAGGGAATTTTCCCACTTTTATGCTTCATAGAAGAACGAGGAACAAGTAATTATTCAATTGACAAGCAAGTGGCAGGGAGCAAGAATATTTTAATATTTTTTTAAAGGTTTCGAAGAAAAGAGAGGCAGTTGACACATTTTGCTCACAGTAACCCCGGGAAATAATCCAATCAACGAAAACAGCAGGAAGGCTTTTCTATCGTGGTAGCATGGAATTCTATTTTAATAAAATCAGATATGTATATAGATAGAATAATTTTTGTTTGTTGCAATGATAAAGAAACACTTAAAATTTTAGAATTTTATGACGTTAAGTAATTCGTAATGATGCAGACTATATAAATATCAGTATAAGTATTATTTATATCAGTATAAGTATTTATATCAGTATAAGTATTTATATCAGTATAAGTATTATTTGCTTCTGTTTTATGTAAATTTATACTCTAAGACTTTTTGGAACATTTTTAATCTTAGTATCTTAATTTTTTTTTAAATTTGTGATCAAGCTTAATCATTTTTGCTTAAATTACTTCTTAAAGTTTTAAGTTTATTCTATAGCTCTACTTAGTTAACACTTTAGTTAAGGTGTAGCAACTTTGCATGATATTATGGTTCAAACTTGAGCCGATTTTATGAAATTTTAAGCACAGCTTGTATGAAAAATAAAACTTCTACAACATGTTACAAATTGCGTGTTTCGTGCAAAATAAAACTTTGCATTTATGTTTAAAAAAAATTTAGTTTGTTCTCTAATCAAATTTAATATCTTCATCTAGTTATTTTGAACAAATAGTTAACACGAGATTATAAAAGCTGTAATTGGATAAAAGAGGAAAGTATGGACGATTCGAGCTAACAAGTGTCCAATAATCGTTAATTTTCGTAAAGGTGATAATTTTTAAGTAAATTTTTTTCTTTAGACTCTTGTAATCCAAGACTATTCTTTAATTATTGAAAAAAAATTTGAAAATTCTTAGTAAATGAATTGTCAAAACTTCTGGGCAATCTAAAAATAAATTATTATATCTGAATCTAAGAGAACACATTATTCGTTCCGTTACTTGTTAAGCAATGGAACGATCTGATATTCAAGAAGATAAATAAAAGAATTATCAAATTTTCCAGTTTCCTAGTAATGGAGACTAGTTTGATAAACTTCTCCCCAGAACTAGAATTATTTGACTTATTTCTCTTAACTTTGCGGAGTGATCTTAAAGTGTCGAATTGAAACTTATCATTCTTAAACGTGTTTATACCATAAGTCTAACTTTGTACGTTATTTGAAATTTAGAAACAAACAGTGCTAAGACTAAACACTCAAAAAACTTAGTCTATCCACGCTGCTAAATTTAAATTCATACAATAAAAGAGCTTCACTGAATATCAAATGCAGCAGTTAAGAATAAACGCCAAAGTTACACTAGACTTTTCCATTTAATTACGAATTTATAACTGGATCCTTGAAAGTGACATCATCGTAGGTCAATGGTATTTGTAGTTTCCAAAGCCAATCAGGTATGACACGCTCTTGACGTCCTTTACATCTTATTTAAATCACATGGTTTGGTATAATCACTTCAGTTCTTCTCTAGTTGCAAGAACGAAACTGCCAATTTTTGCCCTTTTCCAAGGGAAAAAAATATGCTGGTCTACAATTAAAAGCTTGAGGTGTAGAATTAAGGTTTTTTTCTTGCTTTTTAAATAATAATCAACATTTAAACTTCTATATTAGATCCTTTATATGTACGCTTAGATCACTGAGTAAATATCCTTTAAACTAGGAATCAAATACCCACAGTAAATATCTTCCGCCAAAATCAGAAGATCAAGTTTGAGCATCAATATGAAGAAAGAATATTTAGATTATGTTTGGATAATACCACTAAAAAATATTTCAATCTGTGCATAAAAAACTTACATCGAAGTAAAAATTAGATTTCTCTACATTTTTAATTAGTGGATTGTACTAAAAGCAGAAGACAGTATAAATGAGAGATAGCTATTTCTAATTAAACGCATGCTTAGATGAAATTGCTGAGCTCAGCAGTTCTCGGGCAAAATATTTTGAGTTAGAAGTTCTATTTTCAGTCCAACGTTCTGAAAGCAGATACTATCAAAATATGAAAAGCTAAATATAATTGAATAATCTAAATCTGTGTTCTTCCTCAACAGGCTTAACGTAAATGGTGAAACTAAATAGTGATAATATTTTATTCAAGAATGAAAAGTACGAAATGCTTTAAATAACTCAATATTTGCTTTCGAATAGATTCAGGTAACAAGTTTATAACAAACAAATAGCAGAATTTCAATAAAATGTTTTAGTCTTTACAATCAGCACTTCTTTCTAAGACTGGATATTAAGAATAAGCACTTTTACAATTAGATACGCTTCACCGAAGGAAGCTTTTATAAGATGTTCAAATTAGTTGTATTTCTTTTTGAACATAGAAATGTTCTTTTCTAATCTAGCTCTGAGGAAATGTGGATAAGCCTCAAACTGTCAGTCAAACTCCATTCATGAAG